TATTAATTTAATTAATTTAATTAATTTATTTAATTTAATTAATTTAAATAAATAGAGGCAAATGGACCTGAGACCAACCAGGAATTAATTCATTTAATTTACTTAATTTATTTAATTTGTTTTTGGGCCCAAAATAAATTAAATAAATTAATTAAATTAATTCCAGACTGGCTCAGGTCCATTTTCCTCTATTTATTTAAATCAATTAAATTATTAAATCAAATAAATTAATTAAAATAATTCCAGCCGAACTAATTTGATTAATTTATTTAAATTATTTTTGGGCATATTTTAAATTAAATAAGTTAATTAAATCAATTCTAGCCGAATTAATTTATCTAATTTAAAACATTTCGTAATGAATGGAAATTAATTAAATATTTTAATTGAGCGTCCAAATAGACCCTAAAAGGCTCTCTATCATATATATATATATGTATGTGTAATCGAGGGCTGATACCCTGCTTTGTAGCCCAGATACCCACTGTTAGTCATGGGTTCCCGTACTACACCCCCAAGGTTCCCCCTGATTAACCTTAATTTAACCTAATTATCCCTGAATAACCTTAACTAAGGTGGGACTAGCGGGGTAGTATAGATGCGGGTGCTAGGGGAAACCTAAACCCTAAACCCCTGGATACCCACTTGGGGACCCAAAAGCCGCATCCAAGTGTGCTTGGAGGGTCTGGCACTGAGAAGACCTCTACCCCTCAACCCCAAGCCTGTTCCCTAAACACTGAAACCTGTAACATAGGTTTCTGTGTTTAGGTAAAGTATACCCTTGTGTTACCCTATGTATGTCAATACCACCCTATGTACCCTTAGATAAACCTGGTATACCATTACATATTCGCGTATGTAGGTATGTAACCCCAGGATATCCTGATGTATCCTTTTAAACCCTTATGAAATCACAGTATATCTTTGTATACCGCTGAACCCTAAGTACAGTATTGATAACTATTTCGGCTCTAAACCCTAAACCCTAAACCCTAAACCTGATCACTGTAGCACCTCTGCCAAGGTCTCGTGGGAGCTCTGCTGGAGGATGCGTCGGACGTCTTCCCAGGTCCTCTAGCTTTGGGTTTAGGGTTTAGGGTTCACATACGAGTTTGAAGGAAGCCGGAAGACCACTCCGTAATAGTTGAGTTCTTACGGCTCAGGGTCAAAGGGTTTAGGCGCAGGGTTTTGGGTTTAAGCATGTAGTGTAGAGGACATGGGTAAAATCTTGCATATACTTGCAAGTATCACCATTAACGGGGCAGGATTTCCGCCATCCACACTACCAGCTTTGAGGAGGCCCCGGGAGTGGACGAATTGAGGGGATCTTGCGGAAGACTGCAACCCTAAACCCTGCATTTCACAAAGCCTTACAACAAACTTAAGGGCCCTCAGTCCCCTATGGTAATCCCCTATAGTAATCCCCTTAATATCCCCTATAGTAATCCCTTATATAACCCCCTTTAAGGAGTTTAGACTGTACATATGGGGTTGTTATGGGTTTCCTGACCTGTCACCAGAAAGATTGTCTGCTTGAAGTCCCTTACCTTACCATTTATATTTCAGGATACCTGGGCTTCAAGGTTGTGTTTTCCTTGATTTCTGCAACCTCGAATAGCCGAAGCTATCCGAGTTGCTGAGGGCTCTGAGTATAGAAGTACGAACCGGCGGTGTAGTAGTCATCATCCTACTGCCAGGTCCGATGCCCGTCCTGGAAATGGAGAGCTAGGTGCCGTCATTCCTTACAACTATAAGTTAACTTCCACAATCATAGAAGGAGCCGTAAAGCAGCTTTAGTTAATGCTCATATAGCAGCTTACAGTACTTGCACTACAAACCTGCGCGCCCTGTGACCTACTAACTTCTGCTGCTCCTGACCTACCTGGAAGGATTGGTAATATTGGGTAACAAGGGGGTAGTATCGGGGTTATATAGGGTAATATGGGGTAATATGGGGTACAATAGGGTAATATGGGGTAATATGGGGTAAAATAAGGTAATATGGGGTAACATGGGGTAAAATAGGGTAATATTGGGTAAAATAGGGTAATATAGGGGAATATGGGGTAGTATTGAGCATATGTAAGGTAATATAGGGTAATAAGGTAATATGGGGTAGTATTGGGCATATATAAGGTAATATAGGGTAATATAACCCTAAACCTAAAACCTAAACCGATAAGAACCTGCACCTTGCAGCCTGGAGCTTACAAAAGTTGGAATCCCTGGGCCTTAGCCTCCCGGATTTAGGGTGTATGATATTCAGGCTTAGGATCTAAGGTGTAGGGTTGAAGGTTATAGGGTTCAAACCCTAAACCCTAAACCCTAAGTCCTATACCCTTAGGATCTAAATTTTGGGTTTTGGGTTTAGGGGCCCAGGTCCCGAACCATACACCCCCAACCCCTGAATCCCAAACCCTAAACCCCCTAAAACCTGAACGGCATGTGCCTCGCGGATGAGATATCGAGGCTGGCATTTCGCCCTTCACGAAGATCATGCGAGAGTTTTGCGGGTTTAGTGGTGTAGGGGTTGGAGCTTAGGGTACCCAATCACCCTAAACCCTACACCCTATACCCCAAACCCTAAACCCTGTACAAAGATCGTGCAGGGTTTCAGGCTAGACCCGCGGCTCTAATGTTTGGTACCTCTAGGGTTTAAAGCCCAAGCCCTAAACCCTGAACCCAAAGGTGTAGGGGTACTGTTTACGGCTAGGGTTTCAATTATGGGTCAGGGCTTGTTGTTTAAAGGCCTCTGGGGGGTTACGGTTTAGGATTTCGAGTTAAGGGTTTGGGGCATGTACCAGACGATCATTCGGGTGATCATGGGAGCGCTTTGCGACTATGTATGGTTGATGCTACAACACCTGCCTGACCCTGAGTAACCCTTTACCTTGGAAACGATGGTACTTTAGGGTACCAAGGTCATGCAGGGTTGTATGCAGAATCTTTCGTATCAACAGGAAGGGATCGTGTTTACCGGGCTTGCAGATGCTAAGCTGGTGGTACTTTAGATGACCCTAGAAACCATTCATAAGTAGGCTCCTTTGTACATCAATCATCAATTTCTACACAAGAAATATACTAATAAAAAAGGGGATTCAAGTGGGTCAGTCTCATCAATTTGGGATCCTTCTGGTTGCGGATTAAATTCTGGCACCTACTATTCAGGGGTAACAAAATGCGCCCCCAATCTTGGGAACTACCCAAGTTATGGTTGAGGCGTTAAGCGTTCGCCCTAAACCCTGAACCCGCGCCCTGAAATCTTGAACCTCGCGGCCAAAAGTCTCAGAGTGTGGAGCGCTGGGCCGCAGACGCGACTTCAACCGGATCTGTCCCCGTCACATCCAGACTTACATCATCCAGCCACAAGTCACAGTGCTCCACCATTGGTAGGGCTGCAACCGTTTGCATTGGCTCCAGCATGGTAAGTTTGGATAGCACTGGGGCGTATGGGCACCCCTGGAGAATACCTCGCCCTGGGACAATGGACATGGACGCGGACGCAATTCCTTCTCCTGCAAGGCATCGCGGGCCACCGTACAACTGCAAGGAGAGCAAAAGCTGGATAGCTGCCAAAGGAAACTGTATCGTAGAATCCCTTGCAGATCCAGGAACAGGCTGACTATATGCCCGTCCGTCAGTTTAGAATGCTCCGTTCTGCCTAGCCGCGACAATGCCACATCCAAGGACGTGCGTCCAGGCACTGCCGCGTCCCAGCCATATTGCAGGGAATTGGGTTTAGGGTTTAGGGTTCAGGGCCTATCCTCCAGCTAATTTCCGGGGCGCTGAGAGTAGTGAAGTTGTTGAAGCAGGCCTACGCCTACGGCAAAACCTTCTCCGGGCAATTTAGGCAATTTGTTTTCTGCAGCCCTCTTTGTTACTCTTGCTCTAGGTTCCCCAGTACACAGTTTTTTGTAAGGGTGGGCTGTTCTAAAGGCGCTTGTAAGGAAGAAACCATTGGGAATAGACTTCTTTATGCGGCTTAGGGTTTAGGGTTAAGTGGTCCTAACCAAACACGAAACCTACACAATGGCCATTTGCAGCACACGTATCGATCACCGCTTTTAGTTCGACCCTACAATGTAGCCCTGGACATACGCGGCCTTCTCCCAAAAGAGGGCCCTTCCCCTCACATGCCCCTACCCCCCCCATCAAAAACATGCAGTCATTCTGATGGAGACCCTCCAAAATGGGCAATTTCTGTGGCCACAGCGTTGGATATTAGGGTTTACTGAAGTTCATGTCAGGGTTCGTGCAGATTGCAAAAAGGCATACTTTGAGTCTTGCGGAACTTGTCCATATCAACCCTAGCTTACTGGTTCCCCTGCAGGGAATACAGGACTATAGTCCCTACTTCATCCCCATCTAATCATTTCCCCTCTTCCCTGCTAATCCCCAGCAACCTAGAATGTGCTCATCCTCGCCATCCGCCGATGCAAAGAGTCCAATACCCCATACTCAGGAAGCATAGCCGGCCAATTCATAATGGAAATCCGTCATAGGAAACCCTAGATCCTGACCCCAAACACTAAATGTTGCTCAATATGCTTTCAGGAGCCCTAAAAACTGCCTTGAACTTTACAGCCTAAACTCTGATTCCAGAACCCTCATTAAAAGCTAACCCCTGAGCCCTTGACTCTGAATCTTGACCCCTAAACCCTACCTAGACCCTCCAATGTAGTACCTGTTTGGTAGTCCTAATAAAAATCCTAGCCCAAAAACCATACCAAACCCAAAAAGGAACTACATTGGAGGGTCAAGGTAAACCCTAAAACCTAAACCCTCAACCCTAAACCCTAAACCCTAAAACCCTAAACCCTAAACTCAGAGCTGATCTCTGAATCCTGAATGCTAATCTTTAAGCCCCGCACCCTCAACTCTAAATTCTGAACCCTTAGGCCGCAAACACTTTAGGGTTTAGGGTTTAGGGTTTAAACTTTGAGCCCTGAACCCTAAAGCCGAACACTCAACCCGCAATACACAATTTTACCTAAAATCTAAACCTATTCTGTTCCATCCGATTCTCCATTATTGGGGGGGTTCTTCCCCAAATCCCGAGACCCGCAATCCCTTGACCCTATTATATATAATCTCTAATCCCTAGACCCCAAACCCTAGACCCCTAAATCCCTGAACCCTAAATCCTAAACCCCAAACCCTAGACCCTACCTCTGGCTCCCTTTGTTGCCGCCGCCAGGAGCTCGAGCTCCTCGGAACGCAGGGGCGTAGGTCCAGCACCTGAGGTCCGGGAGTGTGCGGTTTATGGTTTTAGGGTGTAGGGTTCAGGGCTCAGGGCTTAGGAGCTATGTGGAAATTTCAGGAATTCGTACCTCACGTGTTTTGGATATATAGGGGTTTAGGGTACAAGATTTGGATTTGTGGGTGTGGGTGGGGATACCCGAAGGGACCAAGTACCTAAACAGCATTAAACAGTACTTGGAGGGTCAGGGTAACTTAGTAAGCAGATTCCTAAGCCCCACGAGCCTCACTACTAGTAACCTACTTACTTAGTCTACCTGACCCTCTAAGTACATGGGGCCCAAAGTGTCATGTAGTAACGCAGGCTATCTATTCCCTAGGTACTTGACACCGCTGTGCCCTACCCCTTTTTTTGGTACCTAACCGGTATGTCTTCTATATACCAAATGAGGTTCCCTGAAGAAAGGGTATAGCATATATGAGCTATAATCTTAACTCCGAGCATCCCCCTTAATAACCCCTATCATCCTCCCCTAAATCATTCCCTATATAACCCCTTTAAAGACTTTCGATTATGGCTCGTATGGAATTCTAGCTGGGGCTTTGGGCGTAGGATTTGGGATTTGGAGTCAAGCCCTGCGCGTGCAGGACTTAGGGATATGTAGGGTTTCTAGACTTAACGATTGAGAGATAGGGCTTAGGATTTAACGTTCAGTGGATTTAGGCTTTAGGATTCGGGATGGCAGGTATTTTGAATACCGGAGAGTCAGATGGACAAGAACATGGAAAGCACAATGGACAACTGGGAGGATGTGGAGAGTCACAGCTGCGGGAACCCTACCAGGATGAGCTATTAGACCCTATAGTCCCCTTAATCTACCCTTGTTAGGGTCCTATAATGGAAGTATAGGGTCTAATAGCCGATTGTGGTTTATAGTATAATGGTTTCCACTTTCTTTTCCATTCTCCCTATATAATCCCGAATACAATCCCTGTATAATTCCTAATAGAACACCCAATATACTAGGTCTTACGTTGGCTTATTCACGAAACACCTTGTTAAGGGTTTAGTGGTGAGGAAGTATAGGATCTTACCAGTGTTACCGTTTGGGGGATAGAGGGTTTAGGTTTTAGGGTTCGGGGTTTCGGGTATATTACCTGTACCTAGGTGTTCCATACCAGGTGAGCATAGACATCGCATGGTAATCAGCGATCCTTGCCGCAATCGCCCCAGTAAACTTATGCTGTCCATTGCCCTCTAAACCCTAAACCCTTAAACCCTAAACCCCTGAACCCTAAACCGCGAGGTTCCAGGGAAAAGGCCGCCCGCATTCTTTTCGGGTCCATATCTCAAAGGTTTCAGGCTTGGGGTCTAGGGTTTAGAGTTTAGGGCTTAGGGTTTAGGGCTTCGGGCTTAGGGTTTAGGGCTTAAGGTTTGTAACTCTAGGGTTGTACCCTTAGGTGTTGGGATCCTTTTAAGGACTCTAGGGGACCACATTGGCTCATATAAGGGCTAAACAAGCGCTAAATTGGGGAAACCTTTTAGGGGTACGACCTTAGGGGTACAACCCAGGAAACCTTGAATATCAGGGCTCCACCGTTTATAGAGACCCCCAGCCCTAAACCCCAAAAAGCATACAAAAAAAAGAGAACAACTCGGTCAAAACTCCGTCAAAACTCCGGACCTGAACCCTATACAATTTCTATACACCCTAAACCCCCGAACCTCAACAACCACAATGGCATCTGAGAGGCTGCATGTTCCAAGGTTCGCGAGGTCATCACCGTCATCTGGTCTTGGCCTGTCGCGATGGTGAAGATGCACCCGCGTGGGTTCATGATGGTCTTCGAGATATTGGGATGTTACAGGGAGAGAAGGGCCCAATAGCGAACCACTGTCTAAACTCCTAGTATCCCCCTTAATAACAGCTATAGTAGGCCCCTATATAACCCCCTTCAAGGAGTTTAGACTTTAATTCATATGGAGCGGAACATGGAAGATGGAACGGAAACCGGATATATGTGAATGCGAACCTCTGCAGGGGATGGGAATCACCTGGACGCAAACCCCTGCTGAACTCAGTGGAAACAGCTGGCCTCAACGGACATGGTGGGGTGGCCACAAGTTAGTATGGTCCCTTTTTGACTTCCCAGTATAGTACGGCCCTCCAACGGTAGGGTAAGCAAAGCCAGGAACCACAATCTTGACGGCCCCTCAGGCTTGCATGCACCAGTGGCCGTGTGGGCTTTTTTCGCGCCTAGGTGCGTGCGAAACCTATCAAATCGAGAGCTTGGCAAAGCTGGAGAACAAAGCACTTCTGTGGCTCCGTCAGTTCATCACTCAACTCCACTTTGTTTCTATACCAGGGAGACCCATGGATTTCATCCGAGAGTGCCCCATACAAGCTCAGAAGAGTTGATCCTACTTGTGCCTCTGGAAAACATGTCTGGGCAGCATCTGTGAGCACTTTCTCCCACTCACTGGCTGACTTTGGAGATGTTCGGACGGCGAGAATCGTTTCCTAGATTCCCCAGTGACCCCTTAATAATAAGACATTCCGTCTTAATAAGGAACCCCCCAATATAAAAAGGGTACTACTGGGGTACCTAGATAGTGCAAAAGCCCTATTATTTATTATATACCTATTATGGTAACCCCTAAACCCTAAACTCTACTATTTACTGTATTTATATACCCTAAACCCTATACATACCCGGCTTTTTTTTGCATCGAACTTCTTTCCTATTATTTACTATATACCCATTATGGTAACCCCTAAACCCTAACCCTAAACCCTAAACCCTATACATACCCAGTGTCCTTTGCATCGAACTTCTTTTTAGGGCGGCACCTCTGCGCAGCGAGTTGAAGAACCCATTCGAAAATGCCACGGCTGCTGAGCAGGCCTTTACTGGGGTTGGGGTTTAGGGTTTAGGGTTTAGGGTCTGTTAAGGAACTTAGGTTAAGTTATAGTTATAGTCCCCCTTAAGTAAGATAGAATATGGGATATGTGGGGATCTTATTAGAATGTACCCGGAGCCATAGTCTATCTACTTAAGGGGGACTATACCATAATATAGGGGTTGTGAAGGGATAATGGAAATTAACATTCAAACTACTATTTAGGGTTAGGGGTTGCTGTTAAGGAGCTTAACTTAATGTACCATGATAAGGGTTATATAGGGATAATGGAAGATAAAATGGAAACTACTATTTAGGGTTTAGGGTTTATGGTTGCTGCTAAGGAACTTAAGTTAAGTTACCATAATAGGGTATATAAGCTTTAGGGGGCTCTTGTAGTATATAATGGGGTTTCCCTAATATAGTAACTTAAACTAACAGCAACCCAGCAGGCCTTTAGCGCGAAGGACCTCCATGCGCAGATTTTGCAGTAAGTCGTCCTTGCTCTTAATGTCATCAGCCTCAGGTACAACATGGTGGGTGTGCTAGGGACGCCTGGGAGTGTACAGGGATTATTATGGGGAGTGTGGGGGTCCTCATTCGCGATCTTCTGTATATGGATTACAATACAAGTTACAAAAGGGACCATGGGGATCCTCATCACGCATTATCCTAAGGGGATTATGAGGGTCCGCGTTTGGTGTTCTCCAGGGGTTATACCAGGGGTTACGGAGGTCCGCAATAGGGATTCTGTAGCGATGATACTGAAAAAATCCAATGTCACCGGCCTTGCTCTTGAGGGCGTCATGGGAGCGTTTGAGGGCTTCCATCTTTACCGCATAGAGCCCATCTGCAATCATCAGATAGCCCTCTACCTCCTCCCGGGTGAAGGTCTTCCGCTTCTTGAGGAGAGGTGCAACGTATTCGCTGGGCTTGCGGGGAACTGAAAAATCATGCTGGGCATCGCTCAGCAGTAGTTGCCAAACCGCCAGCGTAAATGCAGCGCAAGCAACACAGCTCCGGCGCACATGAGGGCGCATGGAGAGGGAACACTATTAAAATATGTTGCTACTGCCTTTGCCTGAGCAAAAAAGGCAAATACCAGAAGCAGTTGGCTCATCGGTGCAGGTTACAATATACAAGCCTATCTTCGAAGGAGGCCCATCAAATCACAAGCATGAAGAAGGTGTAGTCTCCTTAGACCTATAATAAAAGTAGCATCTGTAATCAGGGTTCTACTATTTAAAAGCTATCAAGCAATTCCTAAGGACAGTACACGAAGAACATGTCAGGCGCGCTTTCCACTTGCCGCGCTTGATGTGCGCGAGCCTGGCACACTCATTGCAATCCTCATCCGCAAATGACACGTGTTCCGCCGAATGTGTATCGCTACTGTACTAGGTGTTTTTGCTTGGGTTGTTCTTAAAATTATGGGCCCCCATTGGTTGTAGATTATATGTATAAATATATATATATAGAGTGCGGCACCTCATATTTAGGGGTGCTAAAATGGGACCCCAATTTTGGGAACTACCCATATTACGTGTGTGTTTTTGCAAGTGCGGGGGGGGGCATTTTCCAGGTTTAGGCGAGCGATTACAGGGCGTGTCTGGGGTTCCCTAAATCCTAAACCTCAAACCCCAAACCCCTAAACCCCCAAAAACTTGAACCCTAAACCCAAGGAACAACTTCTAATTATTCCAGACTGACCTAGAGGCAGGCTTCCCTCTATTCCTAGACCCTCCTCCTACCCTCTATTAGGGCCTAAGTACCCACTATTAGGGACCATATATCCCCAATTAAGGGTACAAGGAGGGTCCTGGTTGGGATGTTTGGAAAGTTGTGGCCACTTGCGGGAAACATAGAAACTTGGAGGCTCATAGGACTTGGTAGCATATACCAGGACCCTCCTTGTACCCTTAATTGGGGATATACGGTCCCTAATAGTGGGTACTTAGGCCCTAATAGAGGTCTAGGAAGGTTTAGAGGTTTGGGGTGTAAGGTTGAGGGTTTAGAGGCTTAGGGTTTAGGGTTCAAGTGGCGGGTTTAGGTTTTTGAACCCTATCTGAACCCCCAAAGGTATGTAGAATAATGGCCTTTTGGGCTATATTTACTGGTTTTGGGCTATTGTTTTACCTACTTTTGGGGCCCCGGTACTCCGCCTCACTGGTTTTATGTAGGTTGCGCCAATCAACTTCGCCGAGGCAGGTCCAGCCTCAGGGCGTTTGGAACCCACTAAGAACACTCTCTACCAGGACCCTCCTTGTACCCTTAATTGGGTTTAGGGTTTAGGGTTGTGTCCAGGACCCTCCTTGTACCCTTAATTGGGATACGTGGAAAATAAAATGGAAGCTACTATACTGGAGAATCAATGGAAAAGAAAATGGAAAATGAAATGGAAACTGGGATTATATACCAGGACCCTCCTTGCACCCTTAATTGGGGACATATGGTCCCTAATAGTGGGTACTTAAGCCCTAATAGAGGGTAGGAGGAGGGTCTAGGTACTCTTCCTTGCTGAACACCCACGAATCCAAACTGTGGTTTGCGAAATATCTGCGCACCCCATTAGCCGAGGCGCGTGAGCGAAAGCGTTTACAATTAGACTCTAAGCCCTAAGCCGCGTAGTTGTAGGCTACCAGGTCCCATAAGCCTCCAAGTGGCGCCTCAGACCTCACAAACGGTTTCGCCGAGCCCGACGCAACCTTCCCCCCCAAACACAGCTCCAACAAGCCACCTAAAGCAAAAATCACAAACCCCAAACTAAAAACCCTGAGAGCCCTAAACCCTAAATAGTAGGTTCCATTTTATTTTCCACTATCCCAAAAACCCCAATTCAACCCAATATTACCCCAAGGGGTACAAACCTAAACCACCAACAACCCCCCCAAACCCTAAACCCAAAGCCCCCAAAACCCTAAACCCCCAAAAACCTTAAACCCTAAATCCTAAACCTTAAACCCTGAACCCTAGATTCTACGCAACACCCTATATAAACCCTCCCTCAACCTTCAGGCACTGGATGCTCCAAATGATCTGTAGCTGGTGGAGAAGGGGCCTCAAGCGAACTCAGGGTAGATTTAAGGCTAGGGTTTAGCTAGGGTTTAGGGTGTTTAGGGTTTGAGGCTTTTAGGGTTCGAGGGTTTGGAGCAGCAGCAAATCCGGGCTTACTTGGATGTTCATGGGCTCAGACTTGGTGAAGGCCTTGGGTACGATATGGCTGTTGAAGTGGGATGCCTATACTTGCAACCAATCATACTCAAACGTTGAGGGGACATCTAGCCTAAGCCCTAAACCCTGTACCCCTACTTACAGCTACCCATGCACCTTAAACCCAGAAATCTAGTCCGTGTCCCTTACACCCTAAATCCTGCAAGCCCCAAACCCTAAACCCTAAACCCCCAAGGGCTCTCTAAGACCTAAACTCTAAACCCTAGACCCTAAACCCTGAATCCTGCGCCCTAAACCCTAAACCCCTAACCCTTGGGGCCTCCCCGGTTTTAGGATTTAGGGTTTAGGGTTAAGGGTTCTGGGTTTAGGGTTTGTGCCCATGATTTTCACACGAATCTTTCTCAAAGCTTTTCTTGATGTATCTAGTTCCTCTCAACGATCTTTATGATATGAGCCCTGGACCAAATTTGTAGTATATCCCTTGATAGGTCCCCCCCAACCCCCTACGTATATAGTCCTCTATAGGTCCCCCCCAACCTAAATTTAGTCCGTAGCTCATATGGCTTCATCCCCGGTGAAAACCATCAACCAAAAAGCAGACTCTAAGGGTCCAAGGACCCAAATAATAGGTTCCCTTCAAAGGGGTTTTAGGGGGACATATAAGGTTTTCTGGACAAGCATTGGAAGCGCATGGCTGTCGAAAAGCAACCTGCACCCTTATTCCTATAAACCCTGAACAGTAACCCCCCAAACCCTAAACTCTAATCCGTATACCTAAACAGGCAAGGACATGAATCATGCGAGGTGCTCAATGCATTTTAGGGTTTGGGGTTTTAGGGGGGGTAGTAGGTTTTTGAAGGATTAATTTGGATATATGGGATTAGGGATTTCAGACTTCGGGTTTAGGCTTAGGGTGTATGGTTCCATCTGAAGGGACATGCAATCAGAAGGTTTTGTAGAAACAGAGGGGATCAACGAAGATGCCAGCTGCAACTACCAGCACGCTTAAGGTAGCATAACGCACCCAGACATTCCCCACTCGGGAGATGACGTATATGATGCTACTTCCGCCTCCCCTGCCAACATAGAATGAAGGCTTTTGTACTGAAATGGGGGCTCTAGGTGTTGATGTAACCCTAAACCCCAAAATCTAAACCCTAAACCTAGGGGTGGGTTAGGTGGTTTGGGGGTTTCCGTATTGGGTTAAAAGGCTTTAGGGGTCTTACGATTTAGGGCTTAGGCGTCGGGGCTTAGGTTCAAGATGGTTCAAGCGCGAGGCCAAAAGCATAACCCAATTGCAAGTCTTTACAGTCATATCCCATGTGTAGGTGCACTCAGTACGGGAGATGATAGCAGTTTAGACTATAGCTTACATAGCCCCATGCTGTTTTGCTGCTAAACAATTTAAATTCAAGTTACCATGATAAGGGTACATAGGGCCCAGCGTTTAGGGTTTAGGTCTATCCCAACACGCGAATATAGCAAATAGGGCTTCCTCAGTATAGCAACGTGGCTAAGTTTCTTAACAGCAACCCAGGATTCCTTCCGCACCCTTCCTTTCAAACCCTAGACCCCAAACCCTAAACCCTGGACCCTAGACCCTAAACCCTAGACCCGAAACCCTAAGCCCTAAACGTCGCCCCTTTGAAAGGACCCACCCTTTCACCCCAAAGCCCTGCAGTTCTCAAGTCAAGGCCTGCAAAGCGCTGTCCGACCCCCCACTGTGCCAAGGCTGGACGCATCCGAAATCGAAACGAACGTTCCGAAACAAGAGCCTTAGGGTTCATGGGGTTTATAGGTTTATCGGGTTTATAGGTTTTACGGGGTTTATAGGTTTTACGGGGTTTATAGGGTTGGTAGGGTTCACAGAGTTTAGCGTGTTAGAGGCGTGAGAGTTTGGGGGTTTGGGTGTACGGGTTTAATGTTTTGGATTTCACGCTTTACGGCGTGCGCAGCTTTAAAGAAGCGAGGGGACAATGGGACCAGGACAAGTACAACAAAGGACCAACAAACCACCGAATGACATGGAGAGGAACCAGAGCCACACCGGACAGAACAACAAGCTTGCATCACAAGAGGCATAGCTAGGGGGGCAAACAGAAGGGACCCCCCGATGGGTTGACCACCAAAGGACCTTGGACGAACCTTGTAAACCCAAAAAAACCAAGCGAACCTGGCGAAGGGAGTTGACTTGGACGAAGGCAAGAAGGTTTACGAGGCTGGACCTCCGGACCGTGATGTTCTTCAACCCCCGCCTCTCACCTTGCACCCCTAGGAGTCACAAACCGCAACGCCAATCAAGCCTAGACAAAGGGCGCGAAGGTTTGACGACGGGACGAGGGTTGGACGAAGGCCAATATGGCTTGGACGAACCTTGTCCAAGGTTCGGTGGTCGACCTTTGGGCCCTTCCCTTTATCCCCAAATAGCATTAACAGAAGCAATCGGCATGATTCGACCAAAGGCTTCCATGCGCCATGTTGCTTTTCAGTCTTCCCATACCATTTTCAAGGCCTAAACCACTCTACATTCACCACCACTGACCCAAGGAGCCCAGTACCCCTTGACTATAGTAAGGCATATAGCTTAAAGCATATTCGAGTCCCTAGTATCATTTGGGCCATATTCCTTAATGAAGGGGTATTGGCCTCTCTGAGCAATGATTAGTTCAATCCTTTGGGCTCATCGACGCGCAACCACCCTAAACACGAGGCCTTAGAAAGCCTGAACCCGCTTGCACAAGACTTGAACCCCAAGGCCCCGCACCTCCCGAAACCCTGACCCATGGGACAATGCAAACAGGAAGCGAGTCTCGGATAGTCTGTATACAGTTTTGTTCATGGGTAATGCGAGGAACATCAGTAAAGTTCCTGGACCTGGACCCCGAAAGTATGTAAAATCATGGCCCTTATGGCTGTCATTATGGGTTTAGGCCTATTCTTTTACATACTTTTGGGGTTTAGGCAGTACTTTTGCATCCCTAAACCCTGAGCCGGGGTGCTGGAACTGAAGCGCTGCGCATGTGCAGGACAGACAAGGTGTGGTGCAAACAAGGAGGTCCACATGACCTGAACGAAACGAGGGAGAAATACTACCTGGACTCAAGTATGTAGAATACGCTTGTTTTTTGAAGGGTATGATTCGGCCTCCTAAAGTATGA